GGGACACCTTGAATTTTGAAGAATTTAAAAGTCATTAAAAGACACCGCTTAAGTCGGGAAAGCTCATTTCCCGCCACCTAGGAATCAAAATTTCCCCGGGGAAGAACCACAGGACACACCTCCCCCCCCTTTCTTTTTGGGATTTATCGATTCATGGAAAAACTACGTATGCAACTTAATCAATCTTTTTTATGTATGTATACACACATAAGGCCTATTTACTGTAGCAACAATGGGAAAAAATTATCTGACCGTTTTAAAGAGTGGAAAACCTTGAATTTTGAAGAACTTAATTACTTTTAAGTTCTTCAAAATTCAAGGTGTTCCCCACTTAAAAATTATTATAATGAATCAATGAACCAAGAGAAAGGAAGGTTCGAGTTCTTCCCGGGAAAATGTTGAATTCTAAATGGTAGACAATGAGATTTCCCGACTTCTGAAGTATTTTTTAATGACTTTAATTTAAAAGACACCTCAGAAGTCGGGAAAGCTCATTTCCCACCTTCTAGGAATCAAAATTTTCCTGGGGGAGAACCCCTTGACCCCACTTTCTTTGGGGATTCATCGATTCATGGAAAATTCGTATGCAACTACTCATTTAAAAAAAATTGTTATGTATGTATACACACCTAAGCCCTATTTACTGTAATAACAATAGGAAAAAATTACCTGACCGTTTTCAAGATGGGAAAACCTTGAATTTTGAAGAACTTAGGTAATTAAAAGACACCTCAGAAGTCGGGAAAGCTCATTTTCCGCCTTCTAGAATCAAATTTTTCCTGGGGAGAACCCCCGGACCCCCTTTCTTTTTGAGATTTATCGATTCATGGGGGAAAAAAATCGTATGCAACTACTCCGATTTTTGTGTATGTATACACAAATAAGGCCTATCTACTGTAATAACAATGGGAAAAATTTACTTGACCGTGTTTAAGAGGGGAAAACCTTGAATTTTGAAGAACTTAAATTGAAGTCGCTAAAAGATACTTCAGAAGTCGGAAAAGCTGATTGCCCACCATTTAGAAAATTTCCAGGGGGAGACCACCGGACCCCCCTTCCTTTTTGGAATTCATCTCATGGAAGAAAATCGTATGCAACTACTCATTTTTTTTAAAAAATGTATGTATGTATGTATGTATATATACACACATAAGGCCACAAATAAAGGTAACAATTACCTGACCGTTTTCAAGAGGGGAAAACCTTGAATTTTAAAGAAATTAAAAGTAATTAAGACACCTCAGAAGAACCCCCGGACCACCCTTTCTTTGAAGCTTATCGATTCATTGAAAAAAGAATACGCATGCAACTACAGTACTCATTTTTTTAAATGTATGTATACACACATAACAGGCCTATTTACTGTAATGAGAAAGTTTACCTTACCGTTTTCATGAAGGGGAAAACCTTGAATTTTGAAGAACAAAGTCATTAGACACCTAGCTCAAAAGTCGAGAAAGGTCATTTCCTGCCATCTAGAAATCAAAATTTTCCCGGGGGAGGAATGTTGACACCACCACCTAGATTTGATTCCAGATCTGCATGATTCATATTCCCATTCGTCTGGGGGAAGAATGCCCCCCCCCCCCTGACGGTTTTTACGGGCTGACCAAGCCGTCGTACCGGGCTGGGTAAGAAGAGAAAGGAAAGAGAGGAGAGGCAGGGAAAGAGGAAGAAGGGGAAAGAAAAAGAAAGGAAAAAGGAAAAGAAAAAGAGAAGAGAAAAATAAAGACAAGAATAAAAAGGAAGATATAATGAACAGATATGACAATACCCCGGCCTGCAACCCCTTCTCCACTTCAAAAAGTGTCCATAGCGCATTTGATCTAAGCCGCCAGGTATTCTCCGCAGTGGCGTAACCACCGGGGGACAAGGGGAAAATATCCATCTGTGGAAAATCTTTCCCAATTGAGTGCCCTTTTCACCCGGGAAAGTGCCTGAAAATCTCAAATTTTAAATCGCATATTTTGTTGAGGTAGGCCAATTTCCTCTAAAAATTGCACATTTTAGGGAGTTTTGATCAATTCTGACGAAATTAGAAATAAAAAAACAAAAATTTTTCGCGCGCTTCGCTCGCATTTTTAATGTTAAAGCTTGTGCTTTCTCTCCTTTGCCTTCTAAGTTATAACACATAGTCCCAAACTCAAGAAAGAAAATTTAAGATAGATTGTTTCACCTAAAAGAAGGGCCTCAATGTGTAATTATGTTGAAAGAATATGTTTGTAATAAATAAAGCCATAAGGAAAATGCTTATATTCAGTTTAAAAAAACGAGTGTGGCCATATATAACATTAGAGCATTTCTTGTTGAGGTAGGCCAATTTCCTCTAAAAATTGCACATTTTAGGGAGTTTTGATCAATTCCGACGAAATTAGAATTAAAAACACAAAAAGTTTTCGCGCGCTTCGCGCGCATTTCTTAGGGTTAACGCTTGTGCTTGCCCTCCTTTGCCTTCTAAGTTAAATATAACCACGATGAAAATGCTTAAAAA